CTTTCCCCCCCCCCCCCCCCCCAAAAAAAAACCTTACTGTCTGATGGAGCTCTTCATGAAACACTAGACAAATGTTCCTATTCCCACCGCACTGAGGAGCAGCTGTGGCACTGTCCGTGCTCATCTCCTCTCCAGATGTTGCTTATCTCCCCAAACACCTGGCCTCCAGCAGGATGTGTTTGCAGGGGCTGTGCAAACTGAGCTTCACTGCACATCACACCTTCGGTGCTCTGCGGTTAGTGAGGAAGAAAAATCCATCCCCAACCCAAACTATTTACTAGGCAAAACATGAAATCAGGACGTGTCAGATATTTCTGAAGAGCCCCTGGAAAAGCAAATCCAAGGTGCTGGAAAGGTTTCTCACTTATATATGTGCAAGTTGATGGGGTGAATTGGACTGAATTGGAAATGAAGGCATTGGTTTGGGGCCCAGCATTTGAACTCTTTTTCTCCATTAAGTTATTTTCGTAACACTCCTCTCTCATGGCACTGTGGTAAGTGAAGAGATATCAGCTGCCAGACAATGTAGCCAGACCACTTGAAAGTAGAAGGACCAGACTTCTTCAGCTGGCCTCTACCCAGTAGAGAGCAGTGAAGAAGTGTGTTTTGCTGGGGAAGGATGAAGGCCTCACTTGTTTGATACAGCACTGATCATCAGACGGAGGAAAAATACTTCTTCTAAGGCACTTGTTCAAAGTAAAACAAAACACAGCTCATAAATAAAACTTCGGGGTTTTGCTACTGATCAGGAGCAGTGCAGCTTTGCTCCAAAGGGGATACAGTGGCAGCCGTTTGGTCCAGTGGTGATGATGGAGCCAGCTCATGCCCCCCAGGTCCAGGGAGAAGGGGAGCAACGGGAAGATGAGGGGGGTTGGTGGGCACCGTGGCCGGGATGCTGGGGCCGTGGGCGCAGCTCCAGCCTCCTTCCCTCTTCATTTTCCCTCCCTGGCACTTTGGAGAGGCCTTGGGACTGTGTCTCAAGTCAAACCAAGTGAAGCCCCTTTCCCAAAGCTGTCACCTGAGCGCTGGCAGCCTGACACGCTCTATCTTTTGTTTGCTGCAATTTTCTCATTATAGCAAAAAGAAAAAGGCCAGGGTCAAGAGGGGTGGGAGATTCAAAGAAAGGCCTTCCTGATGAAGGCCTCAGCTGTTGCAATCCAAGATCTGGATTTAATAAATGGCTCTTATTCACAAATCACTTTAAGGCTCTTCAGCTTCGCTCAAAGAGGTGCTTCTACACATAGGGTTTCCTTTCTATTTTATTTCTTAATGATTTTAGAAAGCGTTGTTGTTACCATTGACACTAAAGCCAACATCCCACCTTTCGCCCCTACCAGGAGAAGAAAAGTTGAAGATAACAACATGCTTCCATTTTCAGGACTGGAAACTGCAGCTTCCTGGACTTAGTGTGAAGTGCACAAATCCTACAGCCAAAACAGTATCTGGATGGGGTCTAAAATGGACAGGGTCTCCATGTGTGTGTGTTATTTCTAAAGACAGGGTGGCTGAAGAAATCCCTCAGCCTTCTCAGCAACTCACCAGAGAAAGGAGATAACAATCAACATTTAGTTTCTCACATCCAAAAGGTAAACCAGTCTCCCTTCCCATGTCCCAGTCACTCTCATCAGCAGAAAATGAAGATGAACCAGCAAACAAGGGTCTCGGTTCCCCCCTCGTCCAGCACAGTCCAGTTTGTGGGAAAGCCCACTCAGTCCTGGCGGAGTGCGACCTGCCAGTGGGGACCTGGTGGCAGGAGCAGCGCCTCCCCTCGCTCCTCCCGCACCCCTCCTTCCCCGTTATGGCATTCAGTTCCCATAGAAAACAGCAAAAAAAGTACCCCCCGCCAGCCCACCTCACCGGGTGCAACACCGAGGGTGATCCCCAGGGCACCCATCAGGCCTCTGAGCAGCACTTCTGGTGGTTCATCTTGACCTTGTGCTTGATGCCATCATACAGCTCGAAGTTGTAGTTCTCCAGCGTGGTGGAGCTCCGCGAGGACAGCCCAGCATACGAGCATGTGCAGTAGAGGAGCAGACCAGCGCAGATGGCCCCGAGGAGGACGCCAAGGGAGCTCATTGCTATGATGGTCACCAGGATGGGATCCAGGGTGTAGAGCCAGCTTTTTTCTTTGTCCAGCTTCGGGGTTCCTGGAGAGTTAGTAGAGAACAGTGTGTCGTTCCTATCCGATCCAAAGTAATCTGCAGTGGAATGGGCACTTATTATCCAGGGATCACCTTTTCCCCCCCCCCACCTTTATGCACTACTTACTTGGAGTTGTGATGACCTTACAAGAGGACAA